CCAGGACTTGGGGGAAGACAGTGAAGCATTTGCCTTGAGTGCAAAATTTAAAGAGGTACCAAAAAACTCAGTAATTGAGATGAATAATATTGTAAAGCCATAGTAAAAAAAAAAGTCAAGATAAATGCAAACATTAGAATGTTACTTCAGGCCCAGCATTTAGAGTGTGCTACAGTCAATAAGAGCTCATTCAAAATGATCTATCTAGACACATTCATCATTTTTTTTTTGCCTTGCCAATAACCAGAAGCACAGCCAATCCCAAACTAAGACACAAACACTGTCACCCATAGTCTTGAATTTTTTAAAGGGCTCCAACTGAGCATTCAAATGGGGTGTATTCAAGCCCTATCTGATTACATGTGCCTTCAACCTGAACTGGGCTGACCTTATCCAAATAGACACATAGAAACAATAGCTCTGATTAACGTTACCATTTAAAACGTGTTATACTTCTCATAGGAGCGAAAAAATTCTAAGAAAATTAGTGTATATGAATAAACTATATAATAAATAAGTTCCAACTGGACTGAAAATATGCCCAGAACTGTCAGGGGCAAGGGCAAGTACAGAGATTCTGCATATTTTTTTAAGTTAAATATTTTGGGGGAAAATATGCCATATAAAGTATCCAAGAAACAAAGATTGCCATTTGCTATCAAAAAGCTCACTTGGATGTCTCACATTTGGCTACTTATTAGGTTATTTGCTTTGCATTAAACAATTTAAAGAAAGAACAGAACGTTACAGGACAGGGTAAGATTTAGACTCTGCCAGGAGGAATTTTAAAGTCAGTTTGTCATCAATCATCATCATCAGCCACAACAGCATGGTGGAGTGGGAATACATGGGCTTCGGAGTCAGATAGATCTAACGGGAAAGTTCAAATCCACTCTTTCCTTGCTGTCTGACCTTGGCCCCTTTCTGCGCCTGTTTCCTCAACTGTGAAATGAGGATACCATAGCTTATATTGCAGGGTCACCACAAGAATGAAACGAGACGGGATATGCAAAGCCTCTAGAAGACGCCTGGTTCGTAGGGGCCCTGACTAAATCATAGCTGCTGTTATCACTACCCGCAGCTTCATAGGCTTTATTCAGTGTCTGAAGGTTATCTGACCCTCAGACAGATCAATGAAGGAGGTTTTCAAGGAAAGGAAACAATAAAATCTGTAATTATTTACATGTGGTTATGTCTAGAGGAAGGAGCTCTGGTGGTGCAGTGGTTAAACTGCTCAGCTGCTAACTGAAAGGTCGGCAGTTCAAACCCACCAGCCGCTCTGCAGGAGAAAGATGTAGCTGTCTGCTTCCATAAAGACTTCAGCCTTGGAAACCCAATGAGGCAGTTCTACTCTGTCCTATAGGGTCGCTATAAGCCAGAATCGACTCGACAGCAATGGGCTTGGTTTGGGTTTTTGGTGTCTAGAGGAGAGGGACAGAGGGGCCCAGGTGTCTGGTGAAGGCACAGTTGATCCTATTTGTCTACATTTTTTACGGCCAGGCACCTACGTGTGAATGTTCTTATATTAGCTCCAGGGAAAAATTCTTGAGCTTAGTGATACCCTTTTAAGAAGTGGCTTTTTTCTATTCAAAAAAGAGCAGCTGATCACAGTCACGGTTACTCTGAACAGTTTTGTTCTTGACATTTTTAAAGATCCAGTAAAGAGCTTCAAAAGTTCATCCAAAAGTGGATAGAAAGTAGGTGGAGGGAGAAAAGGCTACAAGAGAACTGGAGTCATTCACTCCAGAGAAAAGAGGGTTTGATAGTTCTCAAATGCATGAAGTGTTACAAAGTTGATGCTATTCTGTTACCTTTCGTCTCCACGAAAGAGAAGGACACCTATCAATAATTTTTCTTAGCTGGATGGATGAGTCCCCTTCCTGGGAAGGATCTTTTGAGGTCTCTTCTAGTTCTAAGCCTTTGCACAAATATGGAAGAGCACTTAGAAATCGGTTCGTCAATGCGAGATGATCTTCAGCTGCATCATGTTGAAAATGAAGTTGAGGTAGGTTGGTATGTGGAGAGAGTGGGAGCCAGGAGACAGGCGGAGCTGGGTTTGAAATTTGCCTCTGAGACTCACTACTAGGCCAATTATGGTAGTAAAAGGACTCAACTCTACCCAACTGTAACATGGGGATGATCTCTGCCTCCTAGGGTCCCTAACAGGATTAACTGAACTAATGTTGGGAAAGCACCTGCTTTGCTGACTGGCACATATTAAGCCTTCAATAAATGGGAGGTATTATTCTAGTTGGCTGAAAAATGGGTTGAAGAGTCACTTTCAAATTATGAAGAAAGCAATGACATGCTGGTTACAGTTACATACACCCACTACGAAACTTCCAAGTTCAAGTCGGCAGCTGGCCGGCCACTGACACCCCCATTCTCCACGGGGTCAACTTTCCAAACATGAGCTCATCTGTGCCAAGGAATGTTTGAGGGGGTAACTTATTAACTACCTTTGTGCTAACAAGCAGAAGAAACTGAAGGCAAGGTATGAATCTGATTTCTTTCACTGTCACCACAAGAATCAAATTATTTATTTTTTTAAAAGGTTCCAAATACATTGCCAAGTAAAGGGAATATATTCCACATGCTTCAAAGTTTATGTCTGTCCACATCCCACTGACTTGTCATTCACACCAAGTAGAGTAAAAACAACCGTGAAACGGGTTTGCAAACTAAACTGATTGTTTGAAACGATAATTACGATCTTTTCTCCTTCACAAACGATATGAAGCTAAACATAAGTCATTAGGAAATCAAACAGCCCTCTTGCAGCAATGAAATGCAGTGCTCAGAGCCCTATCCTGAGTAAAAGAAACTCCTACTATTATCAGACTTTCCACAAAATGGAAACTTTTTGGTGCTTTATCAGTGCAGTATTACATATTTTATGTTTCAGAAAGATCTTGGAGTCCAAGACAGACAGCTCTTTACCAGGGGTGGGGTCTGTGTGTGGCAGGATGCCTGGGGGCTGTGGAGAATTGGAAAACACAGGAAATACAAGGTACAAACATGCACACAAAGTGAGGCCCAAGGTGAATGCGGCCAGAAACGGGGATGTTTTCTGAAGCCCCTCTGCATTGCTCAGAGACTCAAACTTGGCTTGGGAAGCACTTCCTGTTTCCCTCAAAGGGGCAGTGAGTTATGGTTGATAGAACCAGACAATACAGACAAGAGAGCAGAACAATGGACTTTGAACTGATGGAGTCACATGAAAGAGCAGCTTGTTTTTGTTGGGAGTGAACAAGCACAGGCATGACCTATTGTAAAATGACTGCAGATACGTCAGGGAGCTGGACCAGACCCAGAGTAGTTGCCTGTCAACATTAGATCTATGGAGGCCATAGTGTCATTAAATAAGTCCACAGCAGGCATCTCATGTGATAATGAAGCAGTCCTTACATTAGCACGATACAAGCTTTACATTGTGGGACCAAATTAAAACTCATGATTTCAAATGCAAATATTTCAAGTGGCAACAACCATTCAGCTGCTGAAATTGTCTATACAGTCTGAACCCAAATATCTCAGTAAGCTCAACTTCAGGCTCATCATTTTCATGACACCTTTTTAGAAGTAGGGGTGCAAAAAGCCCTTTGAAATCTATTGAATCCATCCTTACCTGACTTAAAGTTATCATTCTGTTATACCTTCTTTAAACCACTGATACTGCAAACCTGACTGCGTGATACTTACCAGCAGGTTCATTTATTTCTATTTTGTATATGTAGAAAATGGGAGAAAAGAGAAAACAAACACTAAGATGAGAGAGAATCAAGGGCATCATGGAAATGGAAAAAAAAAAAAATTCAAGAGAAGAAAAGTAGTATCTATGATGCTGAACATTAGGTTCAAATATCCTTGTTACCAAGGGGACATTAAAATTATGTTTTATTTCATATGTCTCTTCCTAAATCCCTTTAAACAAAATGGTCTAAATCACAGATACTTTCAACGTGTGAACTACTTCAGAAGAATAAGACAAACTTTTTCAGCATTTTAGTTAGTATTTTAGAATGCTTGAATAAATGCCAATAAAAGTCTGTGCAGAAGCTTAAGATAGCTACTGGCTTGAAAAAATGGAAGTGCTTTCAAGTGCTTATCTCAATACTAAGAAGTAACTCATATACGTAGAGTAATTTAATATTGGGGAGGGTAATACAATGTTTGATGTTAACAAGGGGCAACTAATCCATGATACCTCAATTTAAAATGAAATGTGTTAAAAACATATTTGCAATTAGAAGGTAAGAAAGTCTCCTCCTCATCTAGATTTCAGTAGGTATAACACATTCACTGAGAGACCAAGTCACGGTGACAAAAAGTTGCTTAAATATTTGAAGGCACTTTGACCATGGTCCTATCCATATTAGTGTCCTTCTAGATTAATCCTCCCTTTACTGGATTTTTCCTTCTATTTCTTTTTAAATGAAAAATAGACATTCGTGCTTCAGTTCATTTTGGAAATGTGCCTTGTGAAGGACTTCAGAGATATTTTTCTTTCTTTTTAAAAATAACCTTCAAATGAAAATAAGACGCTTTTCAGATAATAAAAAGCCCAAAGCAAATAATATCAGACTCTGCTAATACAGTTATGAAAAGACCAGAGACCTTCTGAAGTGGGACTGCCAAGTGCTAAAATGAAACGTTCTAACAGAAGGCAAATGAAGCATTATTCAGGAGAACAGCAATTGAAGCAGCCCAAGTCTTGAGGGCATGACAGAATCCTCCATGTAGCAAGCTCTCCAGCTTAAACTAGTACTGGTTTTTTAAAAAAATAAGGTACTTCCTGGGAGGAACACTGTGGCAGGGCCAACTTTGCTTTTCTTGACATCAGGAAACAATGTTTTTCGGGGTTGTTGTTTTTTCTTAGACACAGTGCACAACCCATCACATTTCAAGGCCATTTTATGTGGTTTTTGTTGATTTATCAACCAGCTGCTGGTTTTAGAAAAGAAACTGAACTCAAGCTCAACCACACTAGCTTGGTTTACCTGCCATATGCAAAACGCCTGTCATTGTGATGATCGCCAAAGGTATCCCAAAGCCTGAGAGAAACACTCACTTCATCAACAACATCCCGGGAACGCTCCAAGACCTGCAGGAGAGACAGAGAAGCCATGCTCAGTGTTAACTGGAGGCTCCCCTAGGAGAAGAATGTTCCAGAGAACACCCCCCAATGCCCAATTAACTCACTTGCATTTAGTTTTCTCATTCCATTTACAGGACTTAAACTGAATCCTTAATTCTCTCCTGGAATCACATGACCCGAGCCCTCAGTTAGGATACCATAACAATGCCCTCAAGTTTGCATTCTGCTTTGGTTTTACCTTGTGGCACTAAAAAGAATAGTTTTGTCTTGAACGGGAGTTACCTCATTTTTTTTTTTTTTTTTTAAATTTTAAATCAGACTGGCAACAGCAGTAAGCTACCCTTAGGAATCCAAAGGAACTCCATCTATCTTACCTCCTGGCAAACCCGGTACTGGTCAATCGCCCACACGGTCGGAACGTGGGTGGCCAGCAGCTGATACTGCGTTAGCGTGGTATTACACGCTCTGGCACAGATCAGGCGTGTCTTCCCCACAGCGTTGTCGCCCACGACCACACACTTGATGGTTTCAACGTTGGGCCTTTCGTAGTCCATGTCAGCTTCCATTTATAAAACTCTGTGAGAAGACAGTGGACATCACGTTAAAGACACCCAGGCTTTCCAGAGCAATGGAAGACGTGCGGGGCTCAGTCAGTTTCCCCTCGGTGCAGGGGCTTCTTTGGAGGTGCCCGAGCCTAAACAAGAAGTCTGGACGTGTGCACTAAGCCTGACTGAAACTCAGGGTTTCTTTTTATATCTCACATAAGTACAAAAACACCGGATTGTTATTTTGACCCCAAATGGTTTATTCCGGTTAACATGTTATTTTCTCCTTGGTTTTCTCTAAACACAAACCTGTCTACTGGAGATGAGTCTGGGCAGAGTTAGGACAGCTGGCACACATTTATAGCTAACTGGCTACTCATGTGGACGTGCTGAAGGGGCAGGTTTAACCTTAGACATTCTGGCACAAGCTGCCTTGGCAGTCCTAGCGTCCATGCCATCACAATCTTCCAGTGTCCCAGTATCTGTGGTTGAAGGCAGTGTTCTACATAGGTTGTAAACTACTGTGGTGACTTACCGACTTGGAGGAGAAACAAAAATGCAAGCTGAAAGGACTACCTGACATTAAAGAGGAGTAAATTAAATCTGAATTTTGATACACCAAACAAATGAGGGAGGATTTAAAAAGATATTCTCAAGAGGACTCACTTTAAAGCAATAATTTTTACAATTTTTTTATTCTCTTCCCTTCTGTATTTTCATCAAGAAATCTGGAGGATATGGCCAAGGGAGACTTTTACCAGGATAAGAAACTACTTTGGAATCTTCCTGAAACCATTAAAAAAAGCTTAAAGAGGGTTGCTGATGAGAGGTCAAGAAGAAGAGGGAAAGCTGTCACAGCTCTCCTTCCTTGGGGACAGGAACCTCCTGAACTGGGGAGCATGCTGTTTACTTAGCAGCTACAGGCAGACCAACAAATTCATTAAGCTTAAGATTTTAATGAACTGTAATTGCCCTCTTGGGGAAATATATTTTCAAACTGAGGAAACTGGTTAGATGGTCATTTTTAAAGAGTTGATAATGGTTTTAATGGCCACCATAAAGAAATTGTACAGAGTTGGGCCTAATGCATAGTTGGGACTCAATAAGTATTTAATTCAACTGATTTGAGAAAAGCAATCATCTGGGTAACGGAAGGTTAAGGGCACAAGTGGAGAGAAATATGGAGGAATATTAAGAGGAAAACTTTCTCACAGGATTATCTGAACATGGAATTGTCTCTGAAAGTGAAGGGTACGGGGTTGTCTCCTGTGACTTGCTCATAGGAGGTGTTAAACCCGAGGCTGGAGAACTATTTGGCAGAAATGGAGTGGAGTGATTCAAGGAAGAGATATGTGGTTAGGTTAGGATTTGATCTGTAGTTCCTAAAAACTAGAGAGATGTAAAATATACAGATAACTGTCCTTCATCTGGCAAATGCTGATTCAGAAGGTGGGGAAGAGTATATTTATAAATCTTTAAGTAATTCTGATGAAGAGCCAGGTGTGAGGACTCCTAAAATTGATCTTTTAAAATCCAGCCTTAAAATTCTATGGTTTTATTAGTTCCCTAATTTAATAGTATAGTGTGGCAACAACATAACTGTGTCTGTGTGTATGTGTGGCATTAGATCACTGGTTCTCAAATAACCCCCAAGGAACATTTGGCAAAGCCTGGAGACATTTTTCGGTTGTCACAACAGGGAGATGGTGGGTGCTACTGGCAACTAGTTGGTAGAGGCCAAGGATGTGGCTAAACATCCTACAATGCACGGGACAGGGGTCCCCCACCCCAACAACAAAGAATTATCTGGCCCAAAATGTCATAGTGCTGAGGTTGAGAAACCCTACTTTAGATGGATTTGAGTTTGAATCCCAGTTCCCCCACTTTCCAGTCTTAGGACTTTGGGCAAGTTATTTACCCTTTCTGAGCCTAAGCTTCCTCATCTGTTAAGTGGGAATAAAAATACCCATCTCAGAAGGTTGTTGTGAGGATTAAGTAAATTTACGCTTTAAGTTGCCCTTGCAATACCTACACACTGACAGATTCAAAATCATAATCATGTCAACAAAATTGAGTCAGGTGGGAAGCCAGAATTAAATACAAAATTTACGTCATAAACCATAAATTTTAGTAGAGCTAATTAAAGGGTAACACTGAAAATCAAGGAACATAAATACATGACGGAGCATAGCTAGGTGACCTTATGCAAAGACAGCAGACAAAGTTCTGGGGTAGGGGGAGAGGGTCATAGTTAACCAAAAGATAATGAAATTGGAAATGTGGGTTAAAAATATTTTTATGGAGTATTGCTAAATTCCAGAATAAAAAGGGTAACACTTCTTAACATTTGTCTTAGTCATCTAGTGCTGCTATAACAGAAATACCACAGGTGGATGGCTTTAACAAGAGAAATTTATTCTCTCACAGTCTAGTAGGCTAGAAGTCCAAATTCAGGGCATCAGCTGCAGGGGAAGGCTTTCTCTGTCAGCCTTCTCATCAATGCCCCCCTCCCCACGCCGTCCAGACTAGGAGCTTCTCCATGCAGGGACCCCAGTTCCAAGACGCGCCCTCTTCCCAGCACTGCTTTCTTGGTGGTATGAGGTCCCCTCTCTCTGCTTGCTTCCCTTTCCTTTTGAGCTCTTGAGACAGAAACAGTGGTGCAGCCCACACCCCAGGGAAACTCCCTTTACATTGGATCAGGGATGTGACCTGGGTAAGGGTGTTACAATCCCATCATAATCCTCTTTAACATAAAATTACAGTCACAAAATGGAGGACAACCACACAATACTGGGAATCATGGCCTAACCAAGTTGACACATATTTTTTGGGGACACTATTCAATCCATTACAACACTCTTTGACAAATTTTGAGGGATATTACCCATGGAGTCACCTGTGTCAGAAAAACAGGTTCTGTTTGGATCATCACACCTCTGGAGCCCAAAGTACATCAAATGTCCTAAATGGTGGAAAGCCTACTCTTTTGATAACGGATGTGAATTTTTTTAAGACAGATAAAAGTTATACAGAGTTAATTTCTGAAATTTGGGGGAGTGTTTAGACTTAGCCAAAATTAAGATGACACAAAAAATATAGGGTTGGTTTTCTTGTTGGCTTGCCAACTAGCTCTGATAGCAGTCCGTAAAGAGAAATCACCCAAATAATTTGAAACACGGAATATTCGTGGGATTATGGGGAAGCCTTTACAGAAGACTACTTTGAAGTGGATAGAAGCTTTCCTAGAGTTAGATTAAGGCAATGATTATAAACAGTATCATTACTTCACTTGTTATTTATCGACAAATCTCATGCACAGTCCTAAAAAGAATTTCTGTGTCAAAGGTGAGAATAATATCCTTGGGTCCTCTAATCCCTAGCAATCTGCTTAAAACCAAAGTGACTGCCAAAGGTTCTGAACCTTATACAAAGGAAATAACATGTAAGGGCAGAAGTAAACATTCAAAGTCCAGATCACTCACTGTAGATCTGGAATTTCCAGGAAGAGTTTGAAGAATTTCCAAATGCTGAAAACCTTTTATTTGGAGTAGAAATTTATTTGTAATAATCTAAAAAGCATTTTAAGAGTATGAAATCACAGCCAAGGATGTAAACTCATGCTACACTTGTATTGTTGTAAATCAATTATTCATCTGTTACACATAAACAAATAAACATTAAATTATAGTGGTAATTATAAAAATATGCATTTTATCCTTCTCTACTTATTACAGGCTCTCATTTATTCATATCTGGAACTCTTATGGTTGAATATGCTCTTAGGACCATCTGGATAATGACTATCTGATTCTGATTTTTATTTACCTAGAATGAGAGTAATAAATATTATCCATTTAACACTGCTAATAAATTTTGCTACCATAACTCCTGCTGATCTATGAGAATACCCTTTCACATTTACACACAAACCTGAAGAGCCAAGGAAGGTATAAAAGAAAATCTTGAAAGAACAAACACTGGTAACCTGTTTTTATGATAGCTTTGTAATCTTTTCATTAAAAACTGACTTGAATTTCATTTTATACTTTCACTGAATTCTCAGGACGTGGATGCTGACAGTTAAAAACACCATCGGAAGAATCTACCTGCCAACTACCTGGAAGTCAGAAGCAGTAGTTTATTTGAAAACTGGCAGTGATCAAGACCATGTGGAGACTGAGAAGTGAAGGATTTGATGAGGTAGTTCAGGGTGGCTACTGCTCTGCATAGCTGGGTGTCCACAATCTACAAGGCTGACTTAGAACAGTGTGATTATAACTGCTGGGTATAAAACCACCCCATCTTCTTGGATTGCCCCATACTTGCCTCCACCATTATTACTCCACTCTATTCACTGCAGACTCACAGCTTTCTTGTCTGTGTCCACAAGGATGATGCATCCAACATGCTAGACTCACAATTTCTTTACCTCTTCAATATCAGTGGTTTTTACCCACACTCTACTTGAGATATTCAAACTTTTGGCCATGTGCTGGATATTGTTGTGATCTAGAAACATTTTACCTCTGAAATCTCAAAATTCAAAATCTCACTTTCAGAACAAAACCTTCTATCTTTACAGCTTGTACTAGATGAAGTATGACCACTGCAGTAATTCCCATCAGGAGGTGGAATCTGCTTCCTCTCCTCTTGAATGTGAGCTGGGCTTTTGACTGCTTGGCCCAATAGAATATGGTAAAAGTGATGCTGTGTGATTTCTGGAATCTAGACCTCAGGAAGCCTTGTAGCTTCCACCTTCATCCTGTGGGAATGCTGCCCTGAGGCCACCATGTAAAGAAGCCAGTTTTGCCTAGCTGAGTATGAGAATTCATGTTGAGGACAACTGAGGCAGCCCAGCTGAGTACCATTACTAAATGCCAGCTAATTTAAATGAGGCAATCTTGGCTCTTCTAACTCAGCCAACCCTTCAGCTGAAATGCCTTATGAGTGAGACCAGGCAAAACTAGCAGAGGGATCACGCAGCCAATTCACAGAATCAGGAGAAATAATAAATCATTGTTGTTTTAAAGA